ATAGCATTGGATAGATATCCATTCTAAATGAACCATGGATTAATATATTGTGAAGATATGGTGTACCCTAGTTCCAAGTCAACACCAGGGTCAATCCTAAAGCTAAGTAATCCTATAGGGACTCTTCTTGAATTCTCTTATAATGATCTTATCTACTAAATGCTAGAGGTTAAGATCATTATGTGGAATTTCAAGTTGAGTAAAAAGAAGAGTTTTGAATTTCTAATGGTGGGGTACCTTTTCTAATTTTCTAAGACTAGTCAATAGGAAAGTTCTATGGCTAGACCTAGGCTACTAAAGAAGTTTTCTAGACCTCAACCAAAAATGAGGTCAACAACCCCCAAGAATACATTTTCGGCCAACCAAGAAGGCACAAGAAAGAGCCCCTAAATATCACATGAAACAATCATACTCTAAGCACCAACATATGGATTTTCTTGGCCAAGCAAAAGAACAAAAAGATTTTCAAGTATCACATGAAACTACCAACCATTTAACCATTCCCTAAGCATGAACAAAAATTTCTACCAAAGTGAAGAGCAAACCGGCAACGATTCGAGGCAACCAAAGCGATTCAAATGGAAATCCAGCAGCACCTCCCCCTTGCAAAAATTCGGCCCGCCCTAAGGAACTCCCCAAATGGGGTTTTTATAGCCAGAAGGGAGGGGAAGAACCTACCCAAACCTACCTGGGGTGAGTCGACGCGAAAGAGACGAGCGAAGGAAGCGACAAGAATTGCAGAGGCGTGGGAGGGGAAAGCCGGAGCTCGACAGAGGGAGTAGGTGGAAGTTTTTTCTAGAGATTGGAGCACGGGGAAGGGGGACCTCGGCCGAAGCTTCGCGAACGAAAGGAAGGAGGCGAGACTCGCGAACGGGAGAGGGGGTCTTGCGTGCGTGAGTTTAGGTTTAGGGATATAGGGATTAAAAATAAGGATTTTTTTTAATTTATATAAAAAAATATCAAATTTCGTGCAATTGATTCATGTGCGGCGCCCTAGCAAAATGGGTGTCCCTTTTAGATAAAATTGACATTCCGGACGCACCAACACAGTCCGTTTTGTCATTCGGAGTTGTCCGGACAACTTCGTCGACAATCGGATCAAAAATGTGTCAAATTCAATTTTATTAAAATTTTGACCCGCAATCGATCGTCTCAGAAATTTATTCAAGTTCTTGACAAATAACGGCGCAAGCAATGTGAATTGTAGTGATCGAACGTGTCGACTCTCCGAATTGCGAAGTTTGTGCGCGCGGAAGTGCAAATTGTGCAAGAGGCAACTCTAGGGCTTAATGATCTTATGGGAACTACTTTTGAGTTCCCTCATGTTAGTTTCAACCTTTTACATGCTAGAGGTCAAGAACCGCATGCGAAACTTCAAAAGAGTATAGAAGCAGTTTGGATTTCTAAAATGAGGTGAGTTCCATTTCTAATGGTCTAAGATAGTCGAAGGAAGATTCTTAAGGCTAAACCCTAAATCCTAAGAGGAAACTAACCCTCACTAAAAATGAGGTCAACAGCTACGACCTTAAAACAGTCGATAAACCGTCAGAAATATCAAAAGCGAAGGTATTTCTTTAGATAACCTACGACATGTGGTCGTCGGAAAAGAGCATTATTCATGTAGTGCATCTTCATTAATTCAAAAGAAAATTAGATATGTGCACTTATCATTTATAGTGGATTATTTCAATTAAGCTCAGCCCCGGGGATTTTTTCCTTTTACAGGATCTTCCGCATAAGAAGTCAAAATGTCTCCTCCCACTTCTCTTTCATTAACTGAGTGTGTACTAAGTTTTTGTGCAATGCTATGATACTGACTTGAACCTTCTGACATGCATCGAAGTGGTTCAATTATTATTAGTTCTAACGTGCATATGCATCCACTTGTAATGAAATTTAAATTAATATATTTATTGGCACGATGAAATTATTCATTGATGTCTATTATAGGAAATTAGAATATTCAGAATTATTTTTGTTATTGTTAGCAATATTGATTTTTTTTTAATCTATCAACTTATCTATATCTATCTATCTAATTAATAAAGTTTAAATCAGCATTAAGAAGCATTAATATATTTGTTGGCTTGTCGTTTACTATGGGTCACCTTATTCTAACTGGCTATTAGAGCCTCAGCTCTCTTTGGAGGCGTGTGGTCATTATCCATTTAGCAGTCTTTTAAGCTGCGACTTTCTCTGGGAAATAACGAACCACTCATCCCCCATTCTTGATTTGAATGATTTTAGAAGTTGATTTGAACTTGTAAATAAGCTTAATTTATTGGATGAGTTTCCAGTTTAAAGACACTAAGCTCCAATAAACAAAGCTAAGAAATTTCTGAGACCTTACCAAAACTTTGTTTTATTTTGGTTCTCTTTGATTTTAAATTTTAAATATAAAAGTTATTTTCATGCGGTACTTGGGATTCAAATCATACCAGCTGGGAGAAAATTCAGATAAGGACTATCGAAACTATAATCAAAGAAATAACTGGGGTTTTTGGCCAATTAACAAACCCGTCGTTTAATATATTGAAAATGCTTTATTTTTCTCATAAAATGCGCCGATATTCACTTGTGTTTCACGGCTTTAAAGAGGTGGTCAGCGGCAATTGGCGGTGGCAGAAGTGACGCTGTACTTCATCTCTTTCTCAAAGCCTCAAGCTCTCCTCCGTGACTCTATTTATAGTATTTTGGATGAAATTATTACAGCAATATAAATTATTTTGATAGGATGGTCCGGAGAGCTTTCTTCGATCTGATAGTGTTTGAGTGTCTTAAAGATGTTTGAATTGAGCAATCTTAGGCTTATTGGATTTGTCTTGTTGAGTCGCTTGATTCGACTATAGGCTTGCTAAATTTAATATTCGTTTGATCTTTTAAATATGTCCGAAAAACTCTCAAGGGTGGTTTAATGACTTGATCTAAGCTTGATTTGACTCTGATTAGACTAATTCATTATCATTGGGTCTATCCAATTGAACTGGTTATTTTGACTATAATTTTTGCTGAAATAGTAGCTCTAGATGTCTCTTAATTGAAGTTTGAATATTTCTTGCACAAAAGATTGCCTCAAGATTCATTTCATGCATCGAGATTCTTGTCAGATGATGAAAATTTATTGACGGCAAATTTACCTCATTGAAGGCGTATCTTCAAGTATGACAGTGAACTCTTGTTAATTTAAGGGAGTGAGCCAACCGTGAACAAAGACTTTTCACCATCATAGAAAAGCCCCTTCTCTCCAATCTGTGTCATAAATTTGTTTCATCTTATCTATCACCTCTCTGCCAATCCCCTTCCCATCCACAACTCTGTTGTCTTCCTATTTCTAGTTGACCTTCAATCAACTCTTTCCTTTCAAGACTAAAAATTGAATTGATAAACAAAATACATAAAAAAAAGAAGATTTGGCTACAATTTCTTAAACTACTAATCTTACTGGAAGAAAAGCAGGACAGGGAAATATAAGATGATAGTTGAATTATAAATTCATAACCCCAGGATTAGCCAAACACATTTGTAAATTTATGCAAGTAAAAAATATAGAAAGATGCACAATTTCAAGACTGCATACAATCCTTTGGAGTTAAACAAAATCATAACTCCCAGCTAACGAGTCAAAGGCAACTAAAAGAAGGGATAATAACAATGTTAAATGACTTACCTCTGATACAGAGAAAGACTACAACAATCCTACAACAGGAAAGAATAAAAAATTTTAGGGGCATTTTCATACATACCGCACAAACCTTACATATTTACATATCTGGCACGTCAACATTCATATTTACAAACATACCATTCAAATCATTAACATCACATCAAAAATATCAACATAACTATGTTTTTAAAAAAAAATTAAAATACACCTTTTCAAGCATAGGTTTATGACACTAAGGTGTTATAAGTGTAAATATTAAACTTTGAGTGTCATATATGCAAATAGAAAAGAATTGTGTGGTATGTCTATAAAATTCCCAAAAAAAAAAAGTTTTCTTATTCATTTTCTGCACAGGAATTCAACAGTGTACCAAGCAAATTTCTTTTTCCTATATTAATTGGCAGAGGGAACATTTATTTGTTTGAAGATTAAAATAATAATAGCAACTTCTTACTCTCACACTGACTTTTATTCTAGATAAATGTATTCAAGAATCAATTAAATCATTCATAGAAGAATTTTCTAAATCCAGAAACAGAAAACAAGGTATCTAAGCAAATCAACCAAAACTTTGAAGTTGAAAAACACGAGTAAAGTGCCAAAATTATCCCTTACTATGTTCAGGGAGCCTTTTTACTCCCAAAGTTTATAAATGTGTCAAAATAGCTCCCAAAGTCTTTAAATTGTAATTGAAATAGTCTCAATGGAAGACTATTAGAGCTCAAGTTTAAAATAGTCGGGAGATTATTTTGACACTTATATAAACTCTGGGACTAAAACAACACTACATACACAATCGGGGACTATTTTAACACTTACTTAAAACACAAGTAAATGAACAAAACATTGTAGGAAGGCAGGTTTAATGAGCAAGATATGTCTTCAAGGAATTAGTTGCAGAAGTTTTAATAGACTATAAGTGAACCTTGCCTAACAGTCCGATCAAATACTATACTCATATAAAACAAAAGACTTGAGACGGCAGCAAGCCAATTCTAACCACCCCAATAGTTAATTAAGCAGATTAAAGAACAAAGAAACATGTCATTATCAGAAACCTGCACGCCAGCATCGTTTCAGCAACATTGAAAAAAAAGCTGATCTGTAATAGCCGCATGAATGGTAAAAACTGAATTTCCCATTCAACATCTAGTTCATCTGCAGGAACAAAATTTCACAAGTTTGATACGGCCAAAATCATAAACCTAAATGGCAAATTATAATGGCGCGACCAGGCTTACCTTCCTCAATGGTTTCGGGTAGGAGCAGAGCGGAAGGAGCGGAAGGAGCGGATGAAGGAGACAGATGACGGAGCGGATGGAGGAGAAAAATGTATTTCGGTTATGTGAACGGCGGCCCCATCGTTGCCCTACTTTCCACAGTGATCTCTAAACGCAAAGGAATCGCGAGGGTTCGATCACCAATGCAGTGGTTTTGGGCAAAATTGGATTCCCATCTTTAGGTTCTCTAAATATTAAAAATTGGATGGTTGATGTATAAACTATTTAAAGAGCTGGGCTGGCCACATTGGGGGAGAAAAAATTTGCTACGTCAGGGTACGCATTTCTGCGTACATAATAGTGTACACGGGAGTTACATGGGAGTTACAAGCGTGTACACGAGAGTTACATAGGAGTTACAAGCATGTATAATTGTTATAGCGGGGTTACACGGGATTTACACAGGAGGTTACACGGGAGTTACACGGGAGGTACAACAGATTATAACCCCCTTGTAATCTCCGTATAACTCCCATGTACCCTATTATGTACGCAGAGATGCGTACCCCCTGACGTACGCAAATTTTTTTCTCATTGGGGGAAGCATTGGTGCCTAGGGATGTATTGGTGACGAAGACGTAGCAATGGGTCTCCGATCTCTCTAAAAAAGTCTATGTAAGAAAAATTAATTTTCTAAATTTCTTAAACTATTATTGTTAAAAATGATAATTAATCATTGTCTTAATTATATAGAAGTATGAGTAGCTTCGAGAGAGAGAGAGCAGAGAGAGTTGGAAAGCCACACCCCGACATCTGTCAGCAACAGTGGTAACTAATCTAGCATTGTGTAGTCTGCTTTCGAGCAATGAATGCAAGCAGCGTGAAATAGAAAGGAGGTCTACGGCCTGGGAGCAAAGGGCATGACATTTGTGGTTGAACTCTTTCGTGCTCCTATGGGTGGCTTGAGCTCGTTATAGTCAAAGCATGAGAAGCTTGTCAGGCGGGTTAGTGATAAGAATAAAGAGCTTTGTGAAATGTTTGATAAGATGCATTAAGGACATCAAAGAGTTAAGGATACTTTAAGACGCCTGGTGGAGAGAATTGCATATTAGTTGGGGCTGCCTATGAGTTATGTGGATGAGGAGGAGGAGAATGGTTAGGAGTTTGATGATGTTACCACACCATAAAGGCTTATATATACTTTTTTTTTCTATTTAAGCATGTGAACATGTATTATGAATTCATATGTGAACTTTCACGAATTTAGAATAATATTTGTTACATTATTTTTTTTTTCATTGTCGGTACTTATTTGTTAAATAGATTCCGAGTTGTGTTACATTAGGGTATTCATTTTATTTGTGTAAAGGTTGTGAAAATTTGACTGTTCTTTTAACTTTCCTTGTTATATGTTTGCTTCGGAAATTTGAATTCTACTTCTTTGATTTTTTTCGATGCTCAAATACGACGCTAATTTGCGTTCTCAAGCATTCCACGCAAAATCTGTCTTTAAAAGTTGTGCCATCATGGGGAACTTCAAAGCTGGATAACGACAAGCTTGATGGACGCTAAATCCGATGCAAATATATTTAGCATCGAGCATGTTAGACACTAATTGTATTACCGACCACGGTTTAACGTCGACTATATGTTTGACACAAATACGACGCTAAACCCATTTAGCATCGGATTAGTCCAATGCTAATTGGCATAAACTGTGTAGTGGAACTACAATTATTATAGTCAGATTATATCTATTATCAATAAACTACTGTTGTATGTTTACAGTAATCAATTTGATAACTCCATATTTCTTAATTCAGAAGAATAGTAGATCTTTGTACTCACTATTCATAGTAGATTATTTCAATTAGGTTAAACCCTGTGATTTTTTCCCCTTTCTAGAGTCTTCCAAGTAAAAAGTCAATGGGTCTCCTTTCACTTCTCTTTCGTTATTTCAGGGCATGTGAGGTTTTCGTAGAACGCTAAGATGATAATTCATTACTCTACTGTTCACATGCATCGAAATTGTTAAATTATTATTAGCTCTAATGTGTACATGGATCCACTTTTAATGAATTTTAAATTGATCAATTTGTCAGCCTGTTGAAATAATCCTTTGTTGTCCCTTTTAGGCAATTAGAGTATTCGGAATTATTTTGGTTATTACTGGCAATATTGATTTTTTCAATCTAACTATTTATCTATAACCATCTATCTAATTGATACAGTCGATATCATCATCAAGAAGCCATTTCTAAAATCTTTAATTTAAATGAAAATTTAATTTCAAATCTGAAACGAAGTATTCATCTCCCATTCTTGATTTGAATAACTTTAAAAGTTGATTTGGACCTGTAAATAATCTCAGTTTTTTAGTTTATTTGGCTGCTCAAAAACTTTGACCTCCTGTAATAAAACAACTCTGAGCAATTTCTGAGACCTTACAAAAACTGTTTTTTTCTTTCCCTTCTTTTTGAGCGGATCCTTCTGACTTTAAATCTTTAATATTGAAAGTTATTTTCATGCTGACCAAACTCAATCATAGAGCGAGATGGAAGAATCTTCAGACATGAAGGAAATCGGAACTGCATTATGTATTGAAAAAGCTTTATTTTTTTCTTATAAAAGCCGCCAACATTCACTGGCGCTTCTCCGTGAGGCAATATTTCATCGATTTGAAGTGTACGCACTAAGGCTGCATCCCAGATGTCCGTCATTCATGTATCCCTTCTTCTGCTTCTTACTTTCGCTATCTGTAACCCTTCATGGCGAAGATGGATGAAGAACAGGTTGGTTGGCTACCCTCATTCTGTGCCATTCGTGTATGGAAGCCGTTCACTTTTAAATTTATTCCTGCTTTTCGTATCTATCCTACAAAAACACAAAATTTTAGATGGATACTATGTCGCTTTATGTTGTACTTTTCTGAAGAAAATAAAATTTTCATCATTTTGCTTGTTTGATGGTTAAATGTAAAAAATTATTTAAAAATAATTACTTTTCAACATCCTAGCAATAAAAATTACTTTTTTGGCTTAAAGGTTGCTAGCAAAGAATTCATTCCGCTTTGAAGAGGCCACCATTGCTGACATCCAAGCCGCTTTCAATGACGGCCGGCTCACTTCCTTCAAGCTTGTGGAGTACTACCTAGACCAAATAAGAACTCTGAACCCACACCTCAATGCTGTTATTGAGGTTAACCCAGATGCACTCGATGATGCAGCCAAAGCCGACATTCAGCGCAACGCCCAAAACCATCTCAGCCCGCTGCACGGCATCCCTGTTCTCGTCAAGGACAACATAAACACCCACGACAAACTCAACACCACCTCAGGATCCTTCGCTCTTCTCGGCTCCATCGTGCCCCGAGATGCTGGTGTCATCCAACGCCTCCGAATGGCCGGCGCCATAATTCTTGGCAAAGCAAGCATGAGTGAATGGGACAATTTTCGATCGCTAGGTCCACCCCAGGGGTGGAGTCCACGAGGGGGCCAAGGCCGAAATCCTTACTCTATGACAACAAATCCATGTGGGACCAGCAGTGGTTCCGCCATAGCGGTGGCTGCAAACTTGGTGACAGTTTCACTTGCATCTGATTTGGTTGGGTCTATCACCTGCCCTGCAGTGGTAAACTCAGTGGTGGGCATCAAGCCCACAGTTGGGCTAGCGAGTCGATCAGGGATGGTTCCTATTTCCCCGAGGCTACAAACCATTGGGCCAATGGGACGAACGGTGGCAGATGCAGTGGCACTTTTGGATGTGATCGTGGGATTCGATCCATTAGACAGTGAGGCGACGAATGCTGCGAAGAAATTTATTCCGGAAGGTGGATTCCACGAGTTTTTAAAAAAAGACGGGCTGAAGGGGAAGAGGATTGGGATTTTGCGTCACCCTTACTTTGATATATACCCAGTAGGATCCATGGAGGCTATTACATTTGCTGAGCATTTTCTAACTATGAGGTGATTACTCTGTCTCCCCATTAACAATAGATTATTAAAAAAATCTTCTTTTTTATATGATATAGGCCAAATACGGTTAAGCGCTGGCGAATCACACAAATATATGTGGTATCCTAGTAGTATATGAATCAGAGTTCGTGTATCCATCCCACACGAAACGAGCTAAAATCGAAAAGTAAAGAAAAACTTCTAGGTAACTGGTTTTTAGCTTAGCTTGAATACTCAGAGTTATGGTATTTTGTTAAAGTGATTAATGCTAATTTTTTAATTTTAACAATCCTAGACTAACAAGGTTAAAGAGTTTAAGAGTTTTCAAATGCACAAAATTTCTCACATGAATTAGTTTTGTAGGAATTTTAGTTCAAATTGGTGATTTGACTAATAGGTGAAAATCACGAGCAAAATTCTTCCTTATCCTCTTCCGGGCATCTAAGACAGTTCCAAAGTCAAACTTGTTTAGTCCCTTAAATCAAGTGATTTGCCTAAGACACTATTGCTCCCTAAATGATTGCACTAATCTAAAGACAATATTCCATTTTCTCATAAATTACTGTGACTTAACCTAATCATTCCATTAAGAATTCTTCTGAGTCATTTTCATTTTAACTAGCCAATTCAAAAATAAATAATACTCTTAAGGTTAATAAATCACCAAATGAGAAATTACATGAAATCATACTAGAAAATTCTCATTAATCATTCTTACATGGCCATTCTAAGCGATAAAAAAGATTATACTCATGAACCATACTTTTAAAAAACAACATGATGATTTTATTGAAAGAACAAAAAATCGTAAATACAAATTTAATTGATAAAAATCAATTTAAAGACAAAGACTTTACTGAATTATCTCTTTCCTTTTCCCAAAAGAAATGTTGAAGTGTACAACAAAAAAAGAAAAACCCTTTGATCTACTCACAAATCTCTCTTCACTTACCTCTCTTGTCCGCTATAGAAATTCTCAAGATTTTAGAACTCTCTCCAAACCTTTTGAAGTTTCTCTGAGCCTTTAATATCATGAAAAATCTCTCTAAAGTGTCAACCAAGTGCTTTTAATGCTTAATTTTGCAAATCAATGCCTTTGAATCACTCCCAATGATTACATCGCATGAACTAGTGCGTAAGAACTGTAGTCACTGTCCCTACATTTTCCTTCTTATACTGGATTTCTAGGGCTCTGGGCGCCTAGGGTCCTGAGTGTAAAACTTAGACACCGTTACCGCGGTGCCTAATTTCCACTTCTCTGTATTTTGGACAAATTTTGGAGCACTTTGAGTGGCTAGGTGTTTGACTCTGACACCTAGGTGTTGGTCTCTGCCTTAGCTTTTTCACTTGGTTCTTAATCTCCAATGATATTCCAACCCCGAATCTTGTTAAACACATCACAAACATCTTCTAAATGTGTAAAAGTAAACTAAGAATGATTAAAATTAAAACATAAGTTAGGGTAATTCCTTTACACATCAAAATCCGTCAAATTTAAGCATTACCTGTCTCCAAGTAATTTCAAAACCTTATTCTAAACTCTAACAAAATGTAGTCATAGTTAGGGTTTAATGATTTAGTGCCTCCTAATTAAGGATTTTGCTTTTAAAGTTTTCTCCTAATGTGCTAACTTTACAATCATTATAGAAATATGTATATTCATCCTAAGGTCCTCATATGAAGAATTGACTCCCATAAAATTGATATCATACATAACATTAAGTTATCTATTTAATTAAATCGTCTTTTTCTAGTTTTGATTTCTATGAGGACAATGTTTCTAGCTTAAGTTAGAGAAGCCATTGATCCTTCAACCTTAGAAGAGGATTTAACACCAATTTTAATTAAAGCGTCACCTCAAGCTTCTCCTCAAATGTTCTTGAATTTCTTTTTTCTCTTTTTAGTATGAATCTTTTATTTATTTTTTCTTGTTTTTTTTTTGTTGATTTGACTTACCCTTTTTGCAAGTTAAATTTTCTTTTCTACCCTAACATAACTCGAAATTTTGTAGATCATGAAATGATAGCTCAGAATCAATTTGTTTTAATTAAGTTGAGACTTATTTAATAGAATTGAATTATGAATTTTGTATGTATTCAATATTTATCTAAGAGTTTAGAATGAATATATATGGATAAGTGATCACTATTGATAAGACTTAGTAGTTTGGGATTAACTCATCTTTTCCAAATCTTTGAGAAAAACATGTTACTCTTATATATCTTCCATTTATTAGTTTGCACTTATCCTTAACTACCACCACCATTATTTATATTGAATGATTTCTAGATACTTTAAGGGCAAAATATCTCGTGCAAGCCCCGAATTTGTTTTAATTAAATTGTGACTTGTTTTATAGGATAGATTTATCAATTTTATATGTATTTAATATTCATCTAAGTGTTTGGAAATACATGGATAAGTGAGAACTATTGTTAAAAATCTTTATATGTATTTAATATTCATCTAAGTGTTTGGAATGAATATACATGGATAAGTGAGAACTATTGTTAAAAATCAGTAGTTAGGGATTAATTCAACTTTTCCAAATCTTCCATACATACTTGTCGCTCTTATTTATCTTCTATTTATCAATTTCACTTATCTTTAACTACTACCACCATTATTTATATTGAATTTCCAAAATAATTTTCTAGATACTTTAAGGGCAAAATATCTCTTTACAGTCACTACCCCCCCCCCCCCCCCCCTGTATAAAGAGGTAAGATGCATGACTACTGATATATAAACAATAACTAAATAAATAAAACTAATCACAATATATTAAGTCCAAAGTATACAATAGACAACATATGGGTGAATAGGCAAATGTCAAAGGCAACAATATCACATGCAACAGTCTCCAAATGAATAAGAATAAACATCAAATCAGAAATATAAGATTTCGCCAAAGCATAACATCATAGCATGTCTATATCACATAGACAAATGACAATCCAAAAATCCAATAGCCCAAGAAATAGTCCAACCAAAATCACCAATAGTAAGAAATAAAATACAAAAAATAGTAGAGTCCACACCACATCAAAACATTCAATCGAAGTGAGGATACTCCTCATCCTCCTCCTCATCATATAAGGCCTTACTAAAAAAATTCTCTCTTTTAGCAAATGGGATGGTAAAACTACCATCATTCTTAACTTTCTGAGGGAGCTTCTTATAGATAATAGCACTATACTCCTTGCTTAGAGATACAGTCTCAAAATCTCTCAACTTCCTTTTCTTATTAAAAATGTTTTACATGAATTTCACATAACTAAGCATTTGCTCTAAGGCTTCAGTGAAATGGATGTTAACCGTTAGTTTTTTAACAACTTTCAAAAGCCTTAAAATTGTTGATCAAGCTTAGTTTATTGAATCCATTGGGGAAATGGTGGGGACGAGTTTGATTTTCATAAGTATGGGGTAAGTTTTTCTCTGGGTCTTTTGGGCTTAGATTTAGCTTCTTCCTCTATGGGTTTCTTCCTATTTACTTCTTCCAACTCTTTCACACTTCTTAATTTGATTTTATTGACATGTTCATTCCCTTTATCCTTGGGATTCACTTTAGTATTGCTAGGTATGGTCCCCTGGGTATGTTGCTCAAGGAGTTAGCTATCTACACTAATTGGTTTTCAATGTTCCTTATTGTTGCATCTGACTCTCCATTTAATTCGTCATTTTTAACATAATTTCATCCAAAGAATACTTCTCTGTAAACAGAGTATTTGAAGTGAATCCAGTTGGATAAGATAGTCTATGGTTGTCAGTATCTTGATTAATAAACTATGTTTGATTGATTGTTTCCCCGCCAATGAGTTCCCTCATTTTTTTTCTATTCTAGATGAACTATGGAGCACCTCGTGGGCCTAGGCGCTTGGTTTCGGCACCTAGGTGCTTAGTTCCGACACCTAGGCGCTTAGTTCTGACACCTAGGCGCTGGACCTTGTCTTAGATTTTTCACTGGTTCTTCGACTCAAATGAATCTGCGACCCTTAATCTTGAAAAACACATCACAAATACCTTCTCAACGAGTACAATCAGCATTAAAATGATCAAAATAAGAACATAAATTAGCACAATTTTTCTACACATCATTATACATATCAGATAGTTTATAAAATTTGGGAAGATAGCCAAAAGAAGTGATGTTTTATTCTCACATTAAAATGACAAATCTATGAATCAAGAAATTTATGCATATGGATACAAATAGGAAATGTCTTAGTGAGAAAAAAAAAACAATTTCAATGAACTCATTTTTAAATAGGGCAAGTTTTTTTTTCCGATAAATTATTTAAGATATTTTCGAGAAATAAAAAATATTACAAATATTTTTAATTAGATATGATTATTCCATTAATTATGTCTACCATCTATTTTAATTGAACTAATATGGGTCTTTGATCTAAACAAAAATCTTAATAGTATATAGAACATGCAAAAATAAAAAAATGATTTTTCTATATATTTTTTACATTAAAAATATTGCCTATTAAAATAATGTGACATAAGAGTGCATGTTATATTTGTACAAAATTTAGGTGCCTATTTGGTGATAAAGGATATAATCACCACTCAAAAAGTAGTTGATGATAAAACAAAATAGAAAAACAACACTATCTTATTGTTTCATGTAATTTCTTGAGTGGTGTATTTATATGCAGTGGTTGTGAACCACATGGTTATTGAGGGTTGGTCAATCCATGATGGTAGGGGGTTAAATTTTATTAAATAAAATAAATAATTGTGTTATTAAATAAAATAGTGAAAGATAAAGTAACTATATCTTAAAAAGCTAGGAAATTGAAATTCAAAATTAAATTAAATTTTAAATTTTATGTTACAGATTTAAAGGTGCTATTTTAGTGGACAATCTGAAAATGAGGAATGCAGAAATCATGGAAAATATCACTGCTAATAGTGAAGTTGTTTTGTTATTGGCGGAGTTCAAGCTTTCACTCAATGCCTATCTCAAAGATCTCGTGTTCTCTCCCGTACGGTCTCTCGCAGATGTCATAGCCTTTAATAAAAACCACTCGATTGAGGTAATTGATAATTGCCCCATAAATTATATTATAATCGTCATGCATGTTTTGGAATGGAAGCCACTTAATTAACAATTTTTTTGTTATCAATTTTTTACAGGAAAAAATGGAAGAGTATGGACAAATAATTTTTTTGGCATCAGAAAAAACAGATGGGATAGGTGTAGCAGAGAATATAGCTTTAAAACTAATGACCCAATTCGCTCAAGAGGGTTTGGAGGATCTAATGAAACAGAACAACTTAGATGCTGTGTTGTTCCCTAACCATTATGCTTCAACTTCAATGGCCCTTGGCGCCTTTCCCATCATTAGTGTTCCAGCCGGATACAATAGCAATGGTGAACCCTTTGGTATCTCTTTTGCTGGATTGCGTGGTTCAGATGCCATATTGATTGAAATAGCCTATGCCTTTGAGCATGCTACCCATGTCAGAAATCCACCTCAAATGCAAGTTTGACCGTGAAAAACAAATGCTAAGTTACAAAGATGATAATATTCATCATAATGCATCATTTTTTTTCTAAACAAATGATAAAATTTATGGATGTATGAGCTACTTCTTGCATTCTTAACCAAAATAATGTCATCAAAATTTTGCTTTCATAAAATAATTATGCTGAATTATAATTTTCTTAAATTATTATTTTTAATATTTAGATATGGGATTTATCTCATTTCTAATGATTCTATTTTATTTTATTTTTACTTTTGTTAAATTCTTTCTTTTTATTTAATGTTTTTTTCCATATATAAATTGATATAATTTGAAGCTTTAAGTTAAATGTGGTAAAAAAAATAAGAATATTTATTTAAAATTTTAATAATTATTCTCATATTTCATATCAATAACAAAATATAAAGCATTCTCACGTATAATTTTGATGGTCAAAACCTTTTGACAATTAATAAAATTTCATTGATTTTTTTTAAAAAAAAACTGACTGCTTTTTGATGGGCAAATGACCATTGCTTTCTTATTTTTAAGAAATCCTAATTTTGATGGGATTTCCAATAAAATTAATTTACCGATGACATTCGGAGGAGCGATTATTACGTGCGGAGAGGTAACATTCGCGCATCGCGGCTGTATCACAGTAAGTCCCACTGTCATACAGCCGCGATAATCGGAGAGCGCATACACGTCTACGTGCACTCACCGCACGCAATAATTAGACCATTCAGAGAGGTAACATTCCCGTCAAACATGTTTCCGACGGGAAGCTACCTGTTGGATCATGGCCAACAAAGAACCGACTGACAACAGCTGGTTTTAAAAACAACATGCAATGCCCATCAATTTGTTGAATATCTAAAGCTTGTCCATGGACCGTTGGAAAAGTTTAATTGAAAAAAGAACCTCTGTTATTTCCTTAGAATTTTTACAAGTGTAATCATATCACAAAAATATATGAAATATACAACACAATCAAATTTATCTATCCAAATAGTTACTAATCAAAAATTATATAAATACAATCATAAATTGAAAAGAAAAGAAATTGTAATGTATTAAACAACTGTAAATGAAATAATTTGTACATAACCCAATAAATACAGGTACATGACTCATATCAAAAAATTAAATATAAACAATCCTAGTCATTATATGTCTCCTCATCCTCTTCTCCTCCATCTCTTCTTCTAGTTGATGCTTCCCTCCCCAGCGTGCCTCATGTCACACCACATCAAATTTCATCTTCATTTTCACATCACTCCTTTGTTGGGAAACTTGGTCTTGGTCTATGTGAATGTGGAAACTTGCTTACAAATTTACTCCTACTGGCTAGATGTAGAGCTGTTCCCAACAAAGGAGTGATGTGTGACAAGCATATGTATGATGTGTATGAATATTGCCTCCCATATGATGTGAGCAAAGATGGGTTGCCTTAGGACCAAGCCCAACTTTCCTAATTATAAGGTTTTGAGATAGAGTAATTTTTCATGAGCTTGAGCCATCCACAACCTATATAACTCGATGTTTTGTTGAGCCAACAAAAAGTTTTTTTTAAGACCTTCAAGTTATTTGAAACAATTTTTTAGCTGTATTTTCATCGATAATAACAATTCTTAGTGAGGGTTGTTTTACTTATGAAGGGAACATAGCCTTAGACCAATAAACTATTAAAAGTAGATTAGACTGAATTGGAGCCCATAAGACATCAACCGGCTTCTCATGCTAATGAAATTTGCTCTAATTTTGTTTTTTTTTCCCAATATTCGGATAAGAGTTTTGTTGAAGGTCTCGATCAACCCATTAGCCCAAGTGTAATATAAGTCATACATCTCCAATGAATATTATGCCATAAAAAAAAATTTTTTTCTACATCTCCAATGAATATTATGCCATAAAAAAAAAAAAAAATTTTGATGTTCTTAAAAATAGTACATTATTTGATATGATTCATCGAAGAACACTAATATGAGATATAATATGATCCCTAAGAAATTAAAGTATGTGGTGAAATTTGGTTTCTTGTGGTGATATTGATATTGCTTACCTAGAGAAGTAATCAGTTGTTGTTAGTATGAACAAATAATGACCTTTAGAAGAGGAAGGGTGAATAAGACTAAATAAGGTCTCAAAAGAGCACGAGGCTACTATTGGTTGTAAGATACTAGGTGGTTGATACAAAATAATGCCGTGCACTTGACATTGATTTTGTGTAACACACCTTAAGTCTTCAGTTATGTATTAGTTAAGCATCGGTAAAAATGTTTATCAGCTAGTCATCGGTTTTGACTACGGATAAATTTGGAACCATCACAAAGCTTACCATAAGTCGTCGAAAACTTGTAGCAAAAAAAAAAAAAATTCTTTCTTTCATATTTAAATTATCACATCTACTATCACAACATTTAATATATAATTCCAAACATTTAACGAAATAACATAACTGTCAAACAGTTATTTATCTAATCAAACAATAAAAGAAATAAAATGTATTTACTCTAAAATATGTACATCACTGTTCACAGAAAAAATGTATATTCAAATGTACATAAATGTAAAAAAAGCCTCTCCAAATCATCCTCCTCTATCTCATTAACCTCATCCTCATCGGTCCCCGTCGCTTCCTCCTCCTTCATTGTTGTCGCTGCCTTGCCATGCTCCCTCATCCACTGCCGGAAGGAATCCAACTCAGCTTTCGGCTTAGCCTTCATGTTAGCCTCCAGCTCCGATCTCATCTGAGAGAAGTGGGCCTCCATTTTGGCAGAAAATGCCATAACACGCTTGGAGATCTCCTCATTCTGTGCGATAGAGAGAGAAATTGCAGATGCACTGGTGGAGGGGTGAGCGTCGTAAGAAAAATCCCTTGACCCAAGCCTGTACACTCGGCCTTCTTCTTCCCTCCAACTGCATCGCTCCATAGGTCATGCTCAGAAGATCATGCTCGCGGATTGTAGTACCTCTCGACATCAGGGATCGACTCTCCTTTAGCTGATGGAATCTCTTCTGCAAACAAAAGTAGTTAGATTTAGTTGATGCTAACATGTATTAACATCAAACTAGTTTAGCTTATCAATTTCTTTGTTTGCACGGTATCTGTCGTCAATCCAAGATTGGTCAGACCGCCTCCTATGGGTGCGTTCATGTATATCAGCGACGAAGGGCTCTCATCTAATCTCCATAGCCTGTCCATGAAAATAAATTATTAGAATGCATGTTTGAAATATAAAAAACCTTATAGAATAAATGAAATCATATCAGCCTTTGCTTGTATTCCGTATGTGAGAGCGCCCCATCGGTGTGCTTGGAGGGCCCCATACCTCTACAGCCCAAACGCCTATTCTGTTTTGCCTGCTCCCTCTTCTTATGGTATTTTGGAGAATCGCAAGCCTTAAGCAGTGTGGCAAAAGTATCCTTTCTAAGCCACAAAAGACACTGTCATGATTTTCAGATATCACCATACATGTCCTGGAGGCGATTGCTGCTCTTGCGCTCGAAGTTATGCCAGATGTGCATCTCGTGCTAAGGGGACTGTGAGTATTGTTTCTACAAATGTTACAAAGATTATGTTTGATTGATCAATAAATTAAAATATTTAAAGTTATTTATGAACGATACTTACCGCAAACTCCCGAAACCAAAGACCTTGAATGGCCATCAAGATCTCCTTCCAAGAAAAGTATGCTGAGTTGTAGTTGCTCTGAATGATATCCTGAATGACCAGAATAGTCTGGGTTGGCTGGTAGAACCTTAAAACAAAGATTTTTTTGTTTTATATTCAATTTAAAAAATAAAAATATTTCAGACAATATCTTAAAAAAAACTTACGTGTTGCTAACATGCTCAATGCAGTAGTTGCTGCCTGTCGACTCCTGCCTGGTAGAGGTAGTGTGAGCCTTTGATGCACTCAATCCAACTGCAGTCCGTATGGAGGTAGGGGTGGAGGTAGGGCATGAGTTGGGGGTGGGTGTAATAGTGGGGGTGGTGGTAGATGATACATACCTTCTGTGTCATTTCATATGTGCAAGCATGATACATATCTTCCACTTTGTTTGATGTATAGTCAGGATACATACCTCCTAGACTATTCGATCAGGGTACATACCTCCTTAACTGTCTGATGTTTTGCTTAATGGAACTATTGTTTTCACTTGGCTAAACCTTGATGGTAACACCTCGTTCTGAGTCACGTCAGCTTTTGCAGCCATTTGATCTTGAATGCTCTTGAACTGTACGAACTTTTTTCAGCCAGTTCTTCTATATCTTTAGCTTTTAAGCCATCTGCTTTGATGTTACTTGAGCCATATGACATTATAGTCGGCTCCGTTATGAGAGCATCTTGTCATCGAACATCTTTGGCTTTGTAGCCACAAACGTCCATCTTGCTCAAGCCATATGGCATTTTAGTCAGTCCTTTTATGGAACATATCATCTTTTCATGCATTCATCTTTATAGACACTTGTTACAACATTTCTTGAGCTATATGATGCTCTAGTCAGCTCTCTCATGAGAATATGCTATCATATCAGGCCTGTTAGCCATTTGATACCTCTCAAACTATATGCCCTTTTAAGCTGGCTCTTTTTGTGAGAATAGGGTTTAGGTTCTATTTAGCTTCCCACCAGGCACGACATATTATACGTTGCATGAATTTCCCCGCTAATCTAATTTTCATGCAGGTCAAGTCTATTCTCTTTTATTTTATTATGCACTTTTTAGAGTCCAAGGAGACTTGTAGCAGAATTAAGATAGAGACACGGGTTCAGAGGTGTATTTGCACGGGAAGCACATGGCGGGGGATCTGAAGCAGATGCTCGTACTTCATATCTTAATTTTGCATTTGATATTTATGTATAGAATTAGGATCAGACATGTATATGTAGAGTCTGCTCATCATTTTTCTTTCGAAAATTTGTTAGCGACCCAACAATAGCGACCTCTTTTATTATTTTATTTTGGTTGTTTTCCCTACTTTATTGCATGCTTGAATGCTTGAAATACTTTATTG